CGGTGCCGGGGGCCCGCGCCGCGCGCCGCTCTGCCGGTCCCGGCTTCAGGAACGGCTCAGTGGTGCCGCACCACTTCATGATGGCTCTGTACCGCAGCCTGTCCGGGAGGGCGCCGGCCGAGACAGCCGCTGCCTCGGGCCACGGCCGCGCGGACACCATCACCGGCTTCGCAGACCAGGCAACCCAAGGTACTTGCGCCTTTTCTGCGCTCGCCCATCCCGTCCGACCCTGAGATCACCCCTGGAGCTGTGCTCCCGCTCCGTTGGTCCCGCAAGTCCCAGCCTCAGGTGTTAGAAACTTCTCGGCCGGCCGAGGTCAGCGCACCGAAACTCGCTGCGCCTGAACTGTAGCAAGGGGCACGGTCCTTTGCCTGGCCAGCTCCGGAGAGCCGAGTAGGTCCCATGGCCCAGGGGTACTGCCCTTGCTGACTGGCAGGTCCGCTCGAAGAGGGAAGAACTGAGGCTGAGATCCGCTTCTGGGGGAAGGGTCTGGAGCGGCTTCTGGCCCACAGCCTTGGGAAAGGAAAGACGGCAGGAATGTGGGCTTTGGGGCTCCAGTGGTGGAGGTGGCGGCGGCTTCCTTGCAGCAATATCTGCAGTTCCCAGTCTCCTGAGGGATGAACGAATTTGGGGGATCCCAGGGGGAGTCAGAATGGAGACAGGTATGAGACCAAACGGCCCTGGAGAGGATGGTGGCCGTCCCATCTCCGCAGGCTGAATCTGGGTGTGAGGTGCCGGCCCTGTGAGAGCCCACTCTGGCGGTGGGAGGGAGCCCGGCCTGGAGTCCGTGCGGGAATGCAGGCCTCCCATCCTGGCGCCCCACCTTACCAGGCACTGGGCTCTCCCGAGGTAGGACGTGGGTGAGGCTGTGTGGTGGTTGCTGTGTGTCATCTGGATTTTATTAATCTCCATTGAAACCATTAAAGCAGACAGATAGGGACATTTTAACTAATTTCAGGCGGAAATGCACGTAATTTTGATCTTAATTCTGTCCAGCTAGAGACCTAGCATGGAAAGCAGGAGGGAAAGAAAGGGCTGCTGGTCTGAAGCTGGGAACCACCGACATTCTGCACACCTTGGGTTTCAGAGGACCCTGCAGTGGCCATGTTACTCCCCCTGCAACAAGGCCTAGGCACAAATTGCTTCATTTGGGGTACGTGGAATCCTGGGGTTCAAAGTCTGTCTGGGTCTATTAAACCCACGGAACACTCTGTGGGCCTGCCATGGCCCCTGCACCGGATGCTGGGATGCACCTAGGAAGCCCCAGTCCTCCTGCACCTGGCAGGGAAGGTTTCAGACCTCTTTGGCACAGGGGCTCCCTGCAGCAAGAGAGGGCTCCTGCAAAGCCACCAGGCTTTTTTAGGTCCTACCACACTGCCACTATTGCAGATGGAGCTAAATCCATTCCTGAGAGTTCTGCATGGCTGGCAGGGCCGGAGAGGCCACCTTTTCTTGTCCCCTTTAGGGGGGAAGTGTAGTGGCTGGCCCCGTGCCTGTGCAGCCAGAGAGGTAAGGGCTTGGGAGAGCTGGGAAATACTCAGTAAGCCCAGGAAAGAAGCAGGGGTGGGCAGGGTTCACCTGCCTCCCTCTCTACCCAGATCCTTGTTTGGAGCAAGGTTGCTGAGGTCCCTGGAGGCCACCAACACCTAGATTGTAGACCACAGGCCTCAGGGCCTGGCTCATGGCTGGTGAGGCGTCCCTGTGGTCATGGGGAGTCTGTACAGTCTCTCCGAGGTTGGGACAAAACGAAACCATATGACCCCTTCAAAGGGAACTCCTTATCTGCGGCCTCGTGGAATTTAAACTTTTTTTCCCCCTAAACCCCAAAAGAAAAAAGTGCCCAAGACCAGAAATAAAATCCCGAGCCTGAGATACGTCACAGCAGAACAAAAGCGTAAGCTTGCTGAGGGATGGCTCTGCGTGAAGGAGCCCCCTGTCCTGCTCAGTCCTTAGTGCTAGGCCATTCCAAGGCCCCAAATTTTCCTCTTTTGCTGCCTTCCCCCTCCTCCCGTGGCCGAGGCCGGAGCACCAGGAGAAGCCGCGCCTGAGGTAGCTCGCATTGCTGGGACCTTGGACTTCGGGTCCCCTTCCAAGTGAGGTCACACTCACCGAGCTGCTGCGTTCCCCTTCTGGAGGACTTGTGCCCAGCCTTCAAGGGAGACCGCGATCTGGTCAACGGCAAAGTCCAAGCTGGGTTGAGGGGGAAAAAGAAATATCAGAAGAGGAGAAAGTTCCCAGGGGACGCGAACATGCCGCTTCCGCACGACAGGAATGGGGAACTGCGGCTCTTGGAGCACCGCACGGCAGTAAGGCGCAGGTCCCAAGAGCGCAGGGGCTCTGGAAGGATGCGTCCACCTTGCCTTCTGTTTGCCCCCGCCTGGGAATCCGGCCCAGCCTTGTCCTAGTGGCTCTGGGCAGGCAGAACCATAGTGGCCTTCCTCTTGGTTCCAGTGCCCTCCCTGTCCCGTGGCTCTGTGATGACTTGGGTGGGTGGTTGTGGCGGTGGCTCTGTAAACTAAATCCCTGGCTGGACCAAGTCCCCCGTTACTCCCGGCCCGGTTGGCAGCACTTCTTCTGGGACCCAGATGGGCGGACGCCGGCTCCATGGTCCTTGATATTGTGCTGAGGATAGCGGGCCAGATGCAGGTGGGGGACCCTGCGGCGGGGAGTGCGGGTTTCGCTTCCACTTAGCCCTTTCTCTCTCTCTCTCTGCCGGTCCCATGCAGACGAATCGGTGGCCGAGGCTGGCCAGAGCTTCTTGTTTGACGTGTCCAGTCTTCCCGACGCAGACGAGGTGGTGGGAGCCGAGCTGCGCGTGCTGCGCCGCAAGCCGGCTCGGCCGGACCCGGAGAGCCCGACTGCCCCGCCGCTGCTACTGCTGTCCACGTGTCCGGGGGCTGGGCACACGCCGCGTCTGCTGTACTCGCGGGCTGCAGAGGCGCTGGACGGCGCGCGCTGGGAGGTGTTCGACGTGGCGGACGCCGTGCGGAGCCACCGCCGGGAGCCGCGCGCCGCCGGCGCCTTCTGCCTCCTCCTG